TGACACATTAACAAACTAGTACACATAATGAAACTACATGTTCTAGTCAATTACTTATACTTTTGATTATAGTTTAACTTGAACTCAAATCAAAACTATACAAATCTATCGTTTTGGTTTTATTTTACTTTCTAATAATTATCTAAAATCAAGTTTTCAAAAGTAAAAGTCATAATTTGTATATGATGCAAGTTTGTATATAGATAATAGGATAATATTACATTTCGATATTTTTTTGAGTCAGGAACATTAAGACTTATAGATCTATTAATCTCTCCAAACTAGAAAACAAAGCAATTTTTATTCATATGAAAAATTCACATATATGAAAAACATTCAAATGCGTTTTATTTATCATTTAAGTTAACTGTATTTGGGTATATATATATATCAATAGTTTTTAGGTTATATTTTCTTGCTTTTTCAATCAGTATATCTCATATTGAAATCTAGATTAATTCCCGATAAGATTGACTATGATATAAAATATAATATAAATTTTTTGAATTTTGGTCTTTCAACTATCATGGTGAATTTTTGAACTATAAAACCATAAATTGGTTAGTTACATGTTTCTGTTGATATATTATATCATACATGTTTTTTGATTTCTAGGACGAAAGTATCATAACATCTTTTGAAAGTCACGCACTTTTTTATATCATCATGTAGTATTATACTTATTTGAAACTCGTATTTAGTTAATAGTAATATACAACTGAAAATGACAAAATTATCGTGATGGGTTTCGTTTGGAGGAAACAGAAGTAGCACGAATGTTGATAAGGAAAAGGAAAGGCCATTCGTGTGCCACTCTTTGTCGCCTCTCTTTTCATTTTTATTTTCGTAACTATTCTTTGTAAAATATAATTTTCTAGGTCCGAAAAGAAATAGATCCGAAGTTGCAATCCAAATTATTCGTACTTTATGCTGCAATGAGAAGACATCTTTTAGTAGTTTCATAGTAATGTTAGAATTTGGATCCTAATTAATCCGATATTCAGAAAAAAGGCTATAAAATTAAGTTTGGGAGAAAACATCAATTTCTAAAACTTGTCTTCCACCATTTAAACAAATAAAATCTCAGCATCTACTCTTTAGTTTATGATATCAATCCAACTGTGTCTTCGATTTTAGATCTAGCTTCAAAAAGTTTAATAGTAGCTTTAGGTAGTTTGTGTTACAGACTATGATAGAACAATTAGCAAATTACATCAATAATATAAAACCCTAGTAGAGAGGACGAAAAGCATCATACTAGCTATATCACCCTTCTCTTGATTTGATTTTGTCTGAATTATTTTTAAATCCAACAATGTTTACACCGACGGACGAACAAATGAACAAATGAACAAAATGAAGTTCAGGAAAAGCACCAATGTAACATAAAGTACTTTGTTTCAGTGATATTACTTTAATTTGGCCAGGGCTACGATTAAGAAAACGTAACAAAAAAAATTCTACAAAAAATTGAAAAAAATGGTATCAAGATTCAACTTTAGAAAAAAGACAAAGAAGATAAAGTTGATATTTATAAAGTGAAGACCAAAGGGGGAGAAGAGGTCGATCACTTGTTCTGTAGGGCTTCCATGCACATGCTATTGCCTCCCCCTCGATATTTTTCTTATATTCAAAAGTTAATAATTATATTAAGATTTTTTTTCTCAATTATTGAGTTTTTATATCTATTAGTGAAGGAAACTACTAGAAAAACTACATAAACTATTTTTATATAAATATAAGCTTGTTGGTTTTCAATATTTTTAAATTTCGTTTTAACAATTCATAAAATAAAGCTATTATTTGGCTTTTCAGAACACCATTTTCTTTAGTATTCTAATAAACTTTTAGTTTGTCTCCTTATTTTTGTTGCTATTTAAAAAATAAATTGATAATAGATTTTTTTATTTTAATAATGAGTTTTTTGTTAGAAAATATAAGGTCCCTCAACCATGATGTGTTTATTTCAATCACCACGAATCTAACATATTCTTTTTGCTCAAAATAATTATTCTGTTACTCAGACATTTTTCGAATTCATATTTAATTGTAATTACATATTGTATCTGTTAATTGTTTATGTTTTAAACGAGAATGATTGATGGCCTATGTAATAGTGGACCAGTATCTAAATAATTAATAGATGAATGTGCAATTGGATAATGCATATATTTCCGTGATTCTTTGCTTTGTTTCTAAATTGTTAGGGGTGTAACAAGTGTCAGCTTAGGATTCACTAACCACTTCTAAATATCTTACTCTAGTTTTCTCTTTAGCAAATAAGTTCCATCACATAGCAAGAGTTGTAACACTGTACACACGTTCAACATATTACCATTACGAGTCTATCCAAGTCTATAGAAGATTGGAGTCGATCGTTAGAGGCTACTTAATTAGGCAATCTATATTATTGATATAAGACTGATAAAGATTGATAAAAAAAAAAAAGACCGATAAAGATTGAATGTTGTCACACAACACACCTTTGTCATTTTATCAGAATGAGCAACAATTTTTTTTTTCCGCCAAACACCATTTTATTAAGTTATCAGACGGAGACTTTTTTCTAAAGAGAGCCAATCCGGAGGCCGATGTGCTTACATGGGAGAATAAGGAACTTCGTGCTCGTGCCTGCTATGCGAGACGGTCGGCACGGACAATGTTACAATTCGGAATAAACCTAATATAAAACGAGGGGAAATAAAGCTTTAAAAGCTTAAAATGTTATAATTCTACTGCAAACTGAAACTCCACATATTTTTTTTTTATTTTTTTTTTGGATAACCCAAGTGTCCGGTTCCACCGAAGTGGCCCGACTAACGTCGTGTCCAAGCGGAGCTGACGTGGTCCTGGAAACCTACAGCCGCCATGTGAATTCCGCAATAGCTAGGAATCGAACCCAGGTGGCGGTACCCCCAGCTGGAGGCCCTTTACCACTAGGAGACAAACTCCACATATTGAAAGTGAAGTCTCGACATATATGTGGTTCTCTTAACTCAACTTCATTCGACGTTACATAGGCCATCAATATATGTAGGTTCTCTTAACTCAAACGACGTTCGCTGACTAAAGACACTTCTCTAATTTAACTGTTTGGTGGATCCTGAAAATTTGTTTCGAACATAGATAGAAATAAGATTATTATTTTGTAAACAATAGAAATAGTTAGTTGACAAAAAAAATGAAATCTTAGTTGACATAATGATATCAACTGTTATGAATAATTTGATAATAATTGTTAGGGATATGTTCTTAACCTTTTCTTATATGAGATGTGAGCTTAATCAGCTGTCGTTTTATTTTCCATGTGAACCAATATCTCCCATACTGCTCACATAAGATTCGATCAAGTAATTCGAATTATTTTACGGTATATTAAATTAATAATCCCCAGATTAATTTTAAAATATTTCCATCACTCTTACATTTCCACTTAAATTATTGTGATAAAGATATATAGAATCTTTGGGTAGATTTGATTAACGAAAGTTTATATATTTCTAGTATAGTATGTAATTAACGCCAATAAATAATGAGGTTCAACGAATCTAACGAATCAATCGGCGGATTCAGTTAATCTAATGAGTTTAGAAATCGGCGCATTTGATTTAGCTAATCAGTTAATATTAATTAAATAATCTATATGGTTAATTAAAGTATGAATTACCAGGTTACACAAATATGAAATAAACTCAATCAACACATATTGTAAAACTTATACATATTGTGTTAGCTAATCAATTAACATGAGTTAATCCACAATTGCTTTTGGGGTGAAATGCCTATTAACTTAATCTTTTTTTTTTTTTGGGCAAAGCTATAAACTTAATCTACATTGGACATTCTACAAGACGATGTCGATATTTTTTTGCAGTTTCAACTCATATAACTTGTTAATTATCCATAGAATTCGATTTTAAAACCACTATTCTTTGCATAATTATGAAAGAAATTGGTGTTGCCAAGAAATAAAGAAACAAATGATTGTTTTTTATACAAATTTGCGGATAGGCCAAAACCGATCTGATTGGTGGTTGGTAAACCGACGCAGCTCTCGTCGTATGTGATGTACATGCAATGTATGTATGCATAGCATAACAAAAAAAATTAAGAAGACATATATACTCTCATATTTTTGGTCTACCATAATGTGAAAATGCGTTTTCATAACAATAGAATATGAGATTAAATAAATGAATGCATTCTACAAATAGTCACATGTTTGTTTTGTATTGTAGCTTCCTAGATAACATAAGTTATATAATGATTCTTAATAATATTGAACTTAAAATTGGGACATCATCTTCGTCCAACACATTCTTTTAACTTATGAATAAACTAAAAAAACAAAAAAAAAAAACTAAAATTCAAGTGTAAGTCAAACCAAATATTGAGCGAGTCTACCTTTACATGGAGGACGTGAAGTAAGAAAAAGTCAGAAGACTTCGCAAAGATGATTAGTTCTGTAAATTAATTAATAGTCAATCATAGATTAGATAGTTTATAGCTGGCCAAATCACTTTTTCTTCATATCAAAATCCCCTTTTAACCCAATTTTTAACAACTAAAATTGACAAGCTATCAACAACATATATACATACATCAACCCTCTGTCAAAATCTCCCTCAAATCACTCATTGTAGGTATCTCAATAATCCCTCAATTAATTTTTTTAATTAAATTATCTTTAAAACGCTAAAATAAACAAAAATCCCAAACATGCTTCTGGTTCCTGAATTTCTGCACAATATCCGCCGAAAATATATTTTATACTAAAAACTATAATATTCTCAAGCTTTTGCAGTTAGAAAGTTACCCAATTTGCAAAAAACAATTTAAGTCAAAACTAAACGATTAGTTCTGTCTTTCTGACGTCTGGAGCAGGTTTGCACTATCAAACACCAAAAACTATTAAGCCAGTTTTATTTAATAACTCAAAAAACTGATACATTTTAATTTTTAATTTTGTTATTGAAATTGTAGAATCACAGAATAACTAAACATCAATTTAAATAATTCCACAATTCGAATAAGTATTGTAATTGATAAAACTTTGCAGAATCACATATCTAATACAGATTATAAACAACAATTAAAAAGAATTTCAAGAAACTAATATTGTTGTTCCCTTTCCTAATACAAGAACTTAAAAAAAACATGTAAATGATCAAACTAATAATTTGCAAAACCAAAAAAAAAAAGCTTAACAAAAATAATAATCTCAACCTCTATACAATGGAGACCGTTGTTGAAATATCATCTTCGAGACTCTTGATTGCCGGAAAACCTTAATCGGACTCGGAAAATTCCAACCTTTACCCTTTCCCGTCGCCGCGACCGGAACCGGAACCGGAGAAAATCCCGATTCTCCGGCGACCGCTATGGATCTTGATTTCCTCATAATCGCCGGTTTAGTATCTCCTCTGTTTCCCATAAACATCCTCCAAAACGACGACGTTTTCTTACTCCTACCGGAATCAATAACCGAATCCGGTTTAATCGGAACCGCCATAGATTTCGATCTCCTAAACGCCGGTTCGCATTCAATCAAACTCGCGACTCGTCCCACCGATCCAACCCCGGAGAAAGTAAAACTAACATCTCCGGCGAAGATAGAGAACGATGAGGAAGACGAAGAAGACGACGGAGAGAAAGATACGGCGGCGCGTGAGCTACACGAACAAGGAAGATCGTGAGCACAATCTGGACAAAGAGAAGAGAGACGTTCGTAAAGACAAAATGGACAAACGCCTCCGCCGCTAAAATAACCGCGTTTCGAGAAGTGTTTTGAACATTGTGAAAAACCATCTTCGTCCATGTTTTCGCGATTTGATTCAGAGAATTTCTCTTCTTTCTTCAGTTTCTCGGAGTTTGAAGAAGTGAGAGAGTCGAAAGAGAGAGTTTTTATAAAGGCTTTTACGTTTTAATTACGGTTAAATTATTACTGCGTTTGGTTATTTACAGTAATCTTTATGGTTTAACTTAGAAGTATATAATCATGATGACAATGATTAACGAAACGGTGCGTTGCATTTAGCTACTTGAAAAGCAGTGTTCTAAAAAGCGGTCTAGGCGGTCGCCTAGGCCCCGACTAGGCGCTAGGCTCTCATGCGACGCCTAGATAACCGTCTTGACCGCCTAAAACTACATAGAACTTGTTTAATGTATTTTTTCAATTTCAATTAGAGTTTTATTTATATATATAGTTATAAATATTCATATATTGTTTAATATAAATATAAATAAATGTTTTATTTAGTTTTTGTTTATAATTTCATAATTTTTAGTTTTATATTAATATTTTATATAACTTTTATATATTATATTATATTTATAATATTTTATGTTATAAACGTCTAAACCGCCTAAAAAATCGCCTAGGCTCCGATTAGGCGTTCTAGGCGCTAGGCACTGGGTCACCGCCCGCTTAGCGCCTAGCGCTTTCTTGAACACTGTTGAAAAGTGAAATCATTGGGTTGATGGTTATTTACGTTTGTACCATCGTCAATATGGAACCATTCAGTTCATTCACGTGTGGCATGACTTTACATTATTAATTTCTATCTCTTTCCACTAGTGATTTATGAACATATAAATCGAAACATATTGAATTTGGATCGAATTTTTTAAAACGAATCTGAATTCAATTTTATTATACTTTTTAAAATATCTTAAATATTTGTAATGATATTTTAAAATCTTAAATCAAAACTCATACTAATCAGTAATCCGATAACATGTGGAACGTTAGCAACTTTTACTATTTCAAACATTTACAATGTTTAACCATGATAAAAATCACAACTAAATGAGTTATCCTAGTTTAATTACACCCAGGGAGGCTCAAATTTTTATTGGATCTTGTGTCCAATAATTTTTTTCTGAAAACTTAAGGTCTTATTTGCAAATATTTAAAATTTAGGACCCTTGTTTGTAAAAATATCAAAAATTTAAGACCTTAAAGCTTCACAAAAACTGACAAAAAAATGTGGACCTAGTGCTGATCCAGTGCTCTAGCACTATCAGCACTGCCTCTAAGCTGGCCTGATACACCTAACTAACTATTAAATCAGAAAATTGATCATAGGTTGTTCTCTGCTGTAGACATACAATTTTAGTTATCGAAAATATTGTAAGCTCGCATTTTTAGAGGAATTGAGGGCTTATCGCGAATGCGGTGTTCTCGCGGTAAAATTGTTGGTTATTGGAGTCCTCCTCCTCCAACGTATCATCCCTTTGTTGTTTCACTTTCGTTTTGTAGGTTTATAATGTATTGTTGTTTTTATTTCTTGGTAATGATATATTGTATTGTTGTTTGTAGTAGTTTTCGGTCTTCTGATCTCTTTGTTGAATCTTTATATTTCAAACAATGATAAAATGATATAAAAAAAATTAACATTTTATAAAAAAAATATCAAAAAAACATAAAAGACAGTATTTTCATATATTTTGATTAAAATATAGGGTAGTACCGATATATATAGACCAATATTTTTTTCCTGAAAATGAGCTAGACGCAAACTTTAACAACGTGAGATTTCTTATAACCAAAATTGAACTTTGTTTCAATTCAATGAAATTTTTTGAACCTGTTAAATTTTTTGAATTCAGTAGAACAGAATTGAATAGCCACCTTTGAATTTAAAAATTCAAAATATATTTTGTGGATTGAATGATCTGAAAAATATTAAAATGGAATCCAGGAGTCCACGAATCAAAATATTTGACGTGTAGAAATAAAAGCATGTATGTGCTTAGAAAAAGACAGTTCCGAGTTATGGAGACAAGGTTACTTACAAAGAAAGAGACCTGACCAACTAAAGATTTAGATCATGGCCACTTGGTTTCTAGGCAAAAACTGTAATAAAAAAGTTGTTGAATTAAAATGGAACACGTAATGTTTGACGAAAACAAATCTAATTTGCTGGTTCAGATTTCTGAACCCTTTTTTGATTAAATTTTAGTTGTTGACAAAACTCACTACTTCAATATATCCTCGTAGAGCTTCAGAATTAGATAAATCTAAGTTTATTATTGTTAAGTCAATTAGTAGAGTGTTTGTGCTACTAAATTTGAGTTTAAATTCGCCGGTCTAAAGAGATGTTACATCATTCTTAAAAGATAATATGTACATGGAGATTAAGTGATGATTTAAGTTGTAATATTGTGATAGTTTTATTTAATTTATCTTGTTAGTACTCTTAAATCTCTATGGTCGAGTTATTTGCCATGTTCCACTAGATATTTAAATGAACAAAAATAGATTATATATTTCTATTATAATAAACTAGATATGGATCCGTACGTTGCACGGGTTACCGGTCAAAATTGTCATTTTTAATTTTTATTTTTGTAAACTTAACTAAAATTATATAAAAATATGTTTTAATTTTTAAAAATGTAGTATTTTAATTATTTTTTAAATATAGATTAATTATGCATAATGTGTAATATAAAATACTATTTGTAGTTTTGTTTATTATATGTTACAGTATGATATTTAATAAATGTTCATATGTGTATTAGGGCTGTAAACGGAGCGGATATCCGGTTTTTTTAGGATATCCGTATCCGTATCCGTATCCGAATTATCCGCCAATTTGGTATCCGTATCTGGATCCGGAATTCCGGATATCCGGTATCCGGATATTCGTTAAATCCGGATATCCGCGAATATCCGGAAATAGTGTTTTTTTTTTTTTTTTTGGTAAACCGGAAATAGTATTTTAAAATCCTAAATTCACTGATATCATACATAAAAAGCTTTAAAAATCACAAAATAGCTAGAAGTTGATTATATATACAAAACATTACAAAAACAAAGAATTTATTAAAGTAGCAAAAAGTTTAAAAGATTCAAGTGATGTTCTTAAAAAAAAAAAGACATTAATCAACTTCTTAAATCCTTCTTAAAAATTTATTTTTATTTTTTGTCATATGATTTATTTATTAACATTAAAAATAAAATAAAAACAATTAAAAAAGTTGGCTTACAAGTTTTTTTTGGGCTTTAACACTTGAAAATGGACTCATAAAAGGCTTTTAAGTTTTTTTTTTTTTTTTTTTTTTTTTTTTTTTTTTTTTTTTTTTTGCCGGATATCCGTTATCCGTTTCTAATTTTAAGAGAATCCGTATCCGTATCCGTTTTCAAAATATCCGTTATTTATTATCCGTATCCGTATCCGTTTTTCCGGATCAAAAACCGGATACGGATACGGATATTCGCGGATAGCGGATATTAATCTGAGGCCTAATGTGTATTATTGAATTTTAATAAATTATCTACATCCATCGGAAGAATGTATAACACTTTCTAATTTTAATGTGGGCAAGATGAAAACGAAATTGTGACAATATGAGTCAGTTTATATCCACATCATGTAACTTTACTTGATAATATGAGAAATCTTCAAAAGAAAAAGACAAATTCATAAGAAATTAGGGAATATGCGCTAAATAATTTAAGACTAAAAAATAATTAATAAAATAATACTCCCTCCGTATTCGAATACTTGTCGTTCTACACTTTTTTTTTTTTGTTAATTAGTTGTCGTTTTGACATTCCAATACAACTTTTGCATAAGACTTCCTAAATTAACCTCAATTAATTGATCACAATTACTCAGTCTAAATTACCAAGAGACAAAGATGAGGTTAAAATAGTCATTTTCAACTTTTTCTTAATAAGCGTAATTATAGTTAAAACGACAACTATTCGAATACAGAGGGAGTATTAACTAAACAATATCTATTTGCTATAGGGTTTTTGTCAATTTGTGGCCCATAGTACTCATGAGTTCTTCGTTGTCTATTTTTTATTTCCTCTCGCCGGAAAGAAGTCTCAAATCTCTCTTTTTTTCTCATTAGATTTATCTTATTTTTGCTCGATCTCCTTTTTCTTTTCTTTCTCTCCCTCTCGTTAGATTTCTTCACTACCATATTTTTTTTTCTTTTTCCATATCACTATTTCGCTCCTTCGTCAAACATCACCACCGAGTCTCACTACTCCGACCACCAGGCCACCACCACAATTGAATCTCACAACTATCACAATCATCATCACCATCAATACTAAATCTCGCTAATTTCGACCCACCACATTCATCAATATTTACCGCCACCACCACCAAGTTTGAACCACCGTCATCAACACCAACACCACCGTTACCGCATCTTCCCCTCTTTCCCCAACTGCTCTTATTTCTTCACCTTCTTTATCTCCTCCGATACCAGGTCGAACTTCTTCGACAACAACTCTATTTTATGTCCATCGCCGTTCATAATTCTTAATTTGCCTCTACCGCCATATATTTTTAATTTGTCTATCTATCAATTTGTTTATCTATAGAGGTGAGTATTTATAATACTTTTTCTTCTAGGATTAATAATTGATTATAGAATTTATTTAATTCATATTATACAATAAGATTGTATAATTTCAGAAATCTTTTTTAATTTTAAGGATAAAGTAAAATTTTCTTTTAGAATTAGTAGCTTTAAATTAGAATTAGTAAATAATTTTTTAATTTCTATTTTTATTTAATAAGATACATATAGTTTCCTTATAATTATTTTCTTTACTTTTTTAAAATTGTTTTTTATAAGATATATATATGTATAGTTGCCTTATAATTTTTTTTCTTAAATTTCTATTTTTATTTCATAAGATACATCTAGTTTCCTTATATTTATCTTCTTTAGATTTTTAGAATTGTTTTATATAAGATATATACGTATAATTTCCTTATAAGTTTTTTTCTAAACAAATTTTTTTTTTGGTTTTACACGTTGATAAATTTGATATGTGCATATAGTTTTCTTATATATTTTTAAAAAAAAAAAAAAAAAAATTTTATTTGATACGTGTCAAAATCTGAGATCGATAAATCTGACATGTGGTACGATCCTATGAGTTATTAACTTTGAAAACCATATTTTA